TTGTGGGGCGTGGCCAAAGAGCTCACAGCTCACAGAGACTCGCACTCAAACACTCACTCAATTTCAGCGCTTCTTTTGTTGTGTGTGGTGAAGTTAATAAGCTGCTTTGAGCTCGCTGCCTTTTGGGCTTGATTACATTTTGACCTTCTCTACTTATTTTTTTTATTTATTTATTTTTTTATTTGTCGGTGGAAGGGGGAATATTTTTAGGTTGTTTTCTTGCGACGTGTTTGTTGCATTTTTAATAGGCTACCGAACGCTCCGGGGTAGCTCATTAACAGTCCAAGTTGATTGCGATTGCTTAAGATTTTAATTAAAAATTTTTAAATAGAAATTCGGCTCTGAGCACAAGTTTTATTATTGCTACTTCACATAATACAAACTGATGCTATTTTTTAAGTTCAATCAAATTATTTCTATTGGTTGTAAGCTTTTCAATTTCTCACTATTACTAGAATATGATTCACGAGTGAGTCACAAATCTTATGGATATTTATACATTTCACTCTGTAAACTAATAGTTACAGTAGCCACTGGGTGCATGTATAAATTATTTATTAAAATAATAATTATATTCATATTCCCGTTATTGACTGCCGATCAGATTATGAAATTTCTCAAGTGGAAACCTTATAATAAAATCGACATTTTCTTGCTACAAATTTATCATTTGTCGGCTCTATTAACTTTAATACAACCAGTGCTCATAAATAGCAGTGATGGTCATTAAAAAGACATACGTACATTGTTTAGCTATAAACATAAACAATAATTCAATTTAATGTAAATAGCAAAAAAGTGAGCAAAAAACACGGCATAATCAATGTTGTCTGTCTGCAAAAAGTGCCAAAAGAGAGAGACAGAGAGAGATAAACACACACACACACATGTAAATGTACACATATATATGTGTATGTGTATGTGGACATCCCCCAAAATAGACAGGGGCAAGTTGCAGTGCTCGTATATCACCATTGGTATCCACCCGGCAAACCCCGACAACGAAAACAATTTGGTAAGTTTTCGAAAATTTGCTGCACAAGCGACTGCCACTGTTTGTGTGTGTGTGTGTGTGTGTATGTCTGTGCTTCGTATGTGAGTGAGTGAGTGGGAGCGAATCTAATCCTTCGAGCGGGATAGCAATACATTTTGGGAAGTCCATGTACAAAGCTTAGAAATAGACAGACAATAAAAGCTTCATGAAGCGACATTGCCGCCATTTGCCATTGTGCATGTTGGTGGGAGCGAGCAGGCGATAGACCATCCATGAAGTTTCTGTTGATTTTTATCATTTATCGATTTCGAATTTGTGTCGAGGGACAATTTAGTAGACCCCCTTACCAAATGTGTCTCTCTTTCAGTTTGTGTATGTGTGTGTGTTTCTCGGTTTCAGCTCTCCCGGACATTCATGAGGTGTCAGTTGAATTGCGGGTCTGCGGCGCCTGCAGGCCAAACAATTTGATGGCCAACTTCACTGGCTGACTGGCTGACTGGCTGGATGCGTTTTTGGTATTGGCATTGGATTGGTATATCTGTCCTAGCCTGTCATTGTCAGCCTAAGTGCCCCGGCACTGAAGTACATTTCTGGCCTGGTCTGTGTGTAGGCGACTCTCAGCGAGTAACTATTTGGCTATTTATGACCATCACATATCCTGGCACTCGTCTCATTTTTCACGTTTTGCACAGCGGCCAAACTGTTGTAAAACTGCTCGCTTTTTTCTGTGCATCTGTGGAAGCACTTTAAAAGTGGCTTACAAATTGTAGTTTATTCAGAGTTGCTCAGAGCTATTGGTCAGTTGTTTATTTATTTTTATTAAATACTTGTTGGGAGAGAATGTATTTAAGTTTGTCTATGAAAACTACTTTTCTTCTTTGATTTTCTACAAGTACTTTGATATTTTGTAAATAAAATATGTTAGATATGATATATTTTTGAGCAATTTGCTTGTTATATTTTGACAGGCCTTAAGACAATCTCATCAACAGGCCTTAAGACAATCTCATCAATATAATTTTTTAATTACATTTTAAATTTTATAGTTGTTCCGATAGTTTCTTAAATATAAAATTATGATTTAATCAAAGCTTCATCAACATAAATTGTGAACTGGAGAAATATAAGTAGATCTGCTATTTTCTATATGCTTACTATGTATAGAGAAGAAATTATAAACATCAATAAGATCACAATATTTCCCAATTACTTGATATATATGTTTTGAAAGGCATTAGCCAGAATTCTTAACAATCTGTGGTATTTCACAGATCGCGTTGATCTTTCAAATGTTTCGCTCTACATTTTTATGCAATTCCTTTTGGCCTCATTCATCTCTAAAACTCAACAATAAAGCAATTAATCAATTTTATTGACAAACCATACACACAAACAATGCGAACGAGACCCGAACCCAGGTTGAATTCGCCAAAGCAAAAAACCCGCAGCAGCTTGCAATTTTTCAGCAAGCAGATTAACAGGGTCCTAACTCAAATGATACACCAGGGACACGTATGAGCGAGCAGTTTATTGTGTGTTACCGAAAATCTATTAACCTCAGGCTCAATAAGCGGCTTATGAGGATTTACCTGAAACCGAGGCGATCGAGCCACAGTCAAAAATCCCGAATAGGACACGTAGCCCAGACTATGCCATGTCATATAAGATATTTGGTACGCCTGCGCAGCTGGAACTAAATGGCAAATTCAATGGCAATTCACACTCGTCCGTCAATTGCTGGAAGTTGACTTTAGGCGCGTACTAAAACAAAACAATGACAATAACCCGATGGAAACCCGGAGACCGGCTCTTGGAGCGGAAGTGTGCGGAAGTTTCTCTTCCATGGAAGGAATTGCAATGTTGAAACGTGCGTGGGTTGCTCTTTGCATGAGTTTGCAGTTTGTCCTGATCAGAGTGAATGAGAAATGCTAACTGAGTGAGTGTTTGAGCATTATATAATTGATGTTTGATCTGGAATTTCACAACGTAATACGGCGGCTGTTTACTTTGGAGCGTACGAGTCTGCTAATGGCTCGTCGAGGCAATTATCGGCGGTATGCTAATGGAACTTTGAATAGGTCATACTCCGGTCTCCTCTCCTCTCTCCCTCTCCCTTTGCATCAATGGAGCCTATGAGGTTATTGTTTGCACAGCCAGAGAAACTTAAAGTATGATTAATGTGGCTACATTAGGCATAGATATATATATATATATACACATTGGTGTACAATGAGAGTTCGGTAGTGATTTCAACATTGCAACAGAGTCATTAGTGGACTATCCTAACAAGCTTACACTTGGAAAAAATATATTTAATAGAGTAGATCAAATGGTTTGCCAGATTTTCTATGAATTTTTATAGAATACGGTTTTAGTAGTCCTCTTAAAGCAAGAATACACATAAATTTCAAATATACCTAGTATATTCCTGGGTATTTAAAGATAGTTCATTTTACAGATATTTCGAAAATTTAAAAATGATCTCTGCTATTTAGGGCAAGTTACAATTTATTGAGATTCCCCAAACACTATCGTTGATTTTCTAAGTGCATTAATTGAAAAGTGGCTTACTCCAAGGTGGTTGTACGTGCCTCCAGCTCTACTTGTTGCTCTTTTCAAGTTATTCACACTCCTCACATCTGCCACATACATAATATATATAATACATATGCGTATATGTATTTGTCAAGTGGTTGAACCCCCATGGCATTCATTATTTGATATTGTTCATTGTTCCATCAACCTGTTTCAATTTCATTCATTACTTGCCCAAGTTTCTCGAACAATTTTTGATTGACAGTTAATCAATCTTATGGATTTTAGGCTGATTCTTTTCACACATGATTCTATTCAATTCGGTTCCGTTCCGTTTTTTGTTTTGTCTGCACCTTGCTGGCAGAAGAAACTCTTTGAGTTAATCCTTTTGACTGCAGTTGGGAATATTTGACGGATTGTCGTCTGACTTATTGACGGACTCACTGACTCACTGACTGCCTGACTGGTATAAGCAGATTTCCGGTCTGGGTAATTGTTATGAGCCCTAAGCCCTTGCAACTATTGTTGGTGCTCTTGTGGGTGTTGCTGAGCTGATTTCGACTATTATCCTAGGCTGTCCAATGTGTGTGGGTTTCACTGTACATAATAACAATAACTGCGGTATTTTCGGTTCTAGGCAGAATCTATTCACCTCCAGTTCGTATAGATATTGTTAGTTTACTTTACTTTCATATTGATGTAGAACACAATAAAAATATTTGAAGTATTTGTTATTTTATCATTTTATTCTTTATCAATTTGAAATAATTAAAATTACAATTTAATTTAAATACATTTTACATAATTTTACTGCAGTATTTCATCACCAGCATCAATAATCATTTATTATTATATCATTTTAAATTTGCTCGCATATTTATATTTAAATTGAATAAAACCTAAAGTCTGTTCGAATGCACGAAATTTTAATTACAATGTTTGGGATGCTTTCAATCAACTCTTTCTCTCGATAAAGATAAACAATAAAACTAAAATATACAATATGTAATAAATTCAGTAAATTGTGTGACTTAAAGACGACTTAGCATTAAGAGCCCGGTTATTAAATACAAAATATGTACCTAATTACTAAATAGTATGTATCTATGCGTTTTAAAAATTAACATAAATATTTACACGTGAAACAAGGGTGAGAACTTGAGGAAGAATTTAAGTTGCGTTAACCTTAAAATTGACGTCTTCAGAAGACTGTAAAGTGGCAAAACCTTAATTTGTTTTTTTTTTGTGTTTTTTTTTGTTTTTGTTTTTATTTGTTTTATTGTTGTTCTGTGTAAGTAGCTAATATAAAGAGTGAAATGGCCGACAAATGTTGAGAGCCTTTCCACCGTGTTGTAGTTGATTAGCTAGCGCTTGTTGTAATTTTCAATGTTAATCCTTGCCATTTTTATTTGTTTTTTGTTTTATTTGTTTTTTTTTTTGTTTTTGTTTTTTTTTTTTTGGTAAATTCGTTTTAATGACGATAATTATCCTGATGCTGCTGCTGGGAGCTGCCGCTGCTGTTGCGACTCCTTTTACTTTGTGTGGGTGCCTCGCCCATGTCCAGGCTCTCATTGTCGCTATCCATGGTCTCGCTGCAGTCGCCATCGTTGTCGCCACCCATGTCATCCTGTTTCCGCTTGGCCGTTGCCATTTCCGCCGCATGACGTTTGCGCCATTTGGTGCGACGATTCTGAAACCAAACCTGTAACAATTCCAAATTGAAATGGCAAACTTTAGAAATGTGTGTATGTGTGTGTGTGTGTGTATGGCAATTAAAGTTTTAAATAAGCTGCCGGCCAAGTTTCATGTGTAATTAGGCACAGTCCACAAGAGCAGGCACACATTGTCAAAGTCATTAAGTCGAGGCACCGTTTTGCGAGCATTACCCATTTCGCCCCCGTCTCTCACAGCCCATAAGTCGCATCATCAACGCCGGTTAACCCTCAATTAAGACAATATTAAGCCCTGGACAGCGTTGGCGTTACCCAACAGCAGTTACACAAGCCAACAACTGTAGCTGTAGCCGTAGCCGTAGCAGTGGCAGTGCTAGCGGCAGCGGCAGCAGCAGCAAAAACTATGCAAAACCATGACTAACGTCTTTGGTTGCGCTTCATTTTCCATTTTGCAACAGCCTCAACGCGCTGGCAACATATGTTGCATGGCCCACCCTGCTCGTGCTCTCGTCGGCCTCTCGCCCAAATGGGGGATTATACTGCATAGGCCTAGACACGTTTTTCTCAAGGCGTGTGCTGCTGCTGCTGCTGCTGCTGCTGTTTCTGCAAAATCGGGCATAATTTCAACATTTGTTTGATGATGGAGCACTTTTGACTGGCACACGACACGAGCTCATCAAGCAGCCAACAAACATGTTGTAGTTCAAGTCATTAACAGCGCTTTTGAGTGGCCATTTTAAAATAAAATGAATCAATTTGATAAGAGCATAATATAAACGGTTTTTTCTTTTAAATGTTGCTAAATCATTTATAAGTTGCTTGAGATAAGAGAGATCTCAGTTTTTTTGTTAATTGTTCATTCTCGAGTTGCTTTAGCTTGTCAGGGCTTTAATAGAGTGCGGTTGCTTTTAAAAAAACTGTCTCATTAAGCAAATTGGCTCTGTCTGATTTTAATAAAATTATAATATAAACAACGCCGGCCAGACCAGGCAAAAATCACCGTTGCCAACGACCCAGAGGTGCCATTAAACCAGATACAACATAATTTACAACTTCATTTGCACATTTGTGTAATTATTATTTGCAACATTATGCGAAATAAAAATACAATTAATATTTTTTCGTGTTTTACATGCGGCATGTTCTCGCATGCCAACGAAGAAAACAGCAACCGAAAAGAGATTGGGTCTTCTTTGTTTTTTTTTTGTTCATTTGCCCGGCTCCAGCACAGACAAGGCAACAACAAGAACAGCAACAACAACAACAACATTAGTTGGCATCATTAAGGCTGCTTTTCATGGTCATTATTTTTTGGTAACAGCTGTGTCCATGTTGTTCGGAATTTGCTCGGCCAAAATGTGAACTTGTCGCTGGTCTGGGTATTAATGGTGTTGGTTGGAGAATGTTATGCAAGAAACTTGGAAACAGGGCATCAGCCCTGTCGTTTTCAACATCATAACGATGGTGTATGCGTCATCTAGCACCCACTAAAGCATAGTTTCTAAGTGGAAGGCAACAGACTGTTCAACTGCGGATATGTCACTTGGTGTGTATATTTTTTATTTTTTTTTCGACGAGAGTTGAATGCCAAAAAACTTTAGAAACGCACAGATTGAGCTCTTGAAGCAAGTGTTGGTGAGCCTACTTAAAAACTTGTATTCATTATGCCTAATACTTGAATTCAAATAATAAAAACTTTACATATTACTGATTAGGATAGAATAAGCTTTTCGTTTTCCTGTAGCTTTAATTGAATTACAAGATTAAAATAAAAATACTAGACAGATTCTGGAGATTATATTCCAGTTTTTTTCTTTTTGAATACACCTTCTTACTGTGCATAATAATATAAATAAATAAAAGAAAAATATATATTTTAAGTTGCTTTAACATTTGTTCAGACATATGTGCAACGTTTTTATGACCACACAGCGAGATCAAGATCGCCTTCAGCTTAGAAGCGGAGGCGGTGCAGCAGCAGCAGCCTCAGCAGCAGCAGCAACAGTCGAGGAAATTTATGACAGGCAACATGTCAAAGTCAATCAAATGTTGTGGCAATCAATTTGACGTGGCAACGTTGCGTTACTCTTCGGATTGGGATTGGGATTGGTTTTCGGTGGGCATCACGGGCATACGGATTTATTTATTGCGGCCAGGATGCGACGCTCATAGTTATAAAACATATGTCGATGTTTTGGTCAGTTGTTGTTCTTTTTTTGGCACCACGGCGGGGCGTCCGTCAGGTGTCGGAGACAGACCCAGATAAGGATGAAAAGCGTTATGTAAATTTCGTAGGAACGGATGTCAAAATCATACCTTTTTATTTTTGTTTTGCCGACATCTACTATTATGCATGTATGCATTGTGTCTCGGCGCTGGCAAATATATGACTCTGACCAAATTGGAAATTTATTTGTTTACGCGCAGTCCTGTTTGCTTCAGATCGGATCGGATCGCATCGCATCGTATCGGCATGCTACGCTTGGGGTACTTAAAAGTCAGGAAAATTTACAACATGGCTGGGCGCGCACACCTTTCAAAAAAAAAAAAAAGTCCGCTACCCATTCCCCGATCGACTGACAAGTTGCAGTTACGTTTCTCCTATTGGTTAACAAACATTTTGATGCTGTTTTTGTTGTGTGTGGCTTTTAAGAGTTGCTCGTAAATTTTAGTCTGAACTACGGGCTCACCCTCCCTTTTATATGACGGTATTCGGTATAGGTATTTATGTGAGTTTCTGATTTATTTGCGTTTTGTAGCCCATCAACTTGAACAATAAAATGTCTCTCGCTCTCTCTGTATGTGTTTTTATTTGACTAATTGTGAGTCGAAAAGTGTGGAGCAATGGCGCAGTCGCTGATAGCGCTGCCTAATGGAAGACTTCTCCATTTCGGCATTGGTAATTCTTTCTCTATGGCATTTCTCTTCGTTTTCCATTCATTAACACACAATCAAATCCATTAGCTGACAACAATGGGCCAGACCAGCTGGTATTTTGGGTGTTCTATTTGTCTATTTCACTCAATACAAGTTCCTAAAAATCAATTAGACAATATTTCACATACATATCTGTCATAAGTTTTATGATCAGCCTGGCCCATTGTCAACTTGTCGGCTTGTCACTCAGAGCCATAGTTCCCCATCGGCCAAGCCTGATGCCATTGTCATTGTCACATTTGACATACGCTTCACGTCGATTTGGTCTATAAGCTTTCATTATATATGTGCTAATTATGCGGCAAGTTTTGATTTCGAATTCAAAAAAAAGGAAAAACATTTTAAAATCATTTGAGAGCCATTAGAAATAATAAAAGTAAACAATGGCAGCTTTATAAAAATGGATTTAGATCATTGTTTAAATTCAGCTTTGACATAGCTTAATATATTATTATAATTTGTTGCACACCGTTTTAAATTAGTTTTCAGTCAAGGCTTCAAGATGAAAACAGTAAGATAAACTGAGGTATTTGGAGGTTGTTATAAGTATAATATATTAAAGTCCATTTTAGGATTGGAACAAGACATTAAAATCACTAGAAAAGGCTTTAGATTACTACGGTTTCATTTCGAATATGCAATTGCAAAAAAACACATACAATTACCTCAGCAATAACATGACCTAAACCCGATGTGTTTACATACATGTACTCTGGACAATCAATGTGAAAATCTCATACATTTATGCAAAAGCGAAATCACGAAAAAGCTATAACAACGAATCATGCAATAATATTATGGCTTGTGACACTAACTATACAAGTCCATATAGACGCACAGCTAGGATGTCATTAATAATGGCCGCAGACGCTATAATTCACAGAGACAGAGACAGACGACAGACCAAGAGAGAGAGAGAGAGAGTGAGAGAGAGGAGGAAATGTGGGCGAGAGAGCGACGTGGTACCGTTATAAGAACGCACAAAATGGCGACCATTTGCATTAAATGATTGCTAAAACAGAAATGGCCCTCGGCTTCACTTGTCGGGCAGAGTGTGGGTCTGTGTCCTGTGTCCAAAAACGGTTTTAATTATGATAACAGCACAATTATTCTTGTCAAGATCATTTGGCATGCGCCCAGTTGCAGCCACACCCACACACACACACACACACACACTTGGTCTCTGGACTGTTTTGCATTTTGTGTGTCTGTCATATTTTTGGGGCTGTTTGCAGTGCTTGTTGTGTTTTTGTTTGTCAATTTGCATACTATCATCGTCATGGCTGTTTTTCATCTGTGTCTGTCTGTCTGTCTCTCTGTCCCTCTGTCTCTCCAGAAGAGAGAGCTCTATCCGCACACACACACACACACACACACACGCATACTAATTGAATATGTATGAAGCTGATGTTGTCGTCGTTGCTGCGTCCTTGCACAGAATTTAATTTACACTCACCCAAAAGTCATGCAGTCATTTGGCATGTCTATCAGACAGAGGCGAACCCAATCCTGCCCAGCACTCCAGCATTCATCTCACTGTCCATTTGTACTCGTCATCAGGCGATGTCCTTTCACCTCCCACACCCAACCTCCCCTCAGTATCTGTTTAGCTCCTGCACAAATGACGCATATTTAGCTGCAGCTCAAGCCATCAATCCTGTGAGTCTCTCTCTTTCTATCCTATTCGTTGCTGGTTCTGGATCTGGCTGTACATAGACATTTTGTGCCTGCTTCGTACGCCTTGCAATGCCAACGGACTCATTCATTGGTAATTAATCATTTTGCTCATCATAAACGTGATTTCTTTGCACTCGCCTATCTCCCAGGCTGAAACCCTGAAACCCTGATTTGTGCACACGATATCCGAAGGGGGTTGGCATCTACAAATTGCCCGACAAATGAGACAATCAAGTGTCTACTAATGAAATTTCAAATCTGAGCATATTATCATGTGTGACAGCAACTAACAGCTAGTTGAAGCGACTAAAGTTGTGTACAATCAACTTTAATTATGTTGAGTTAGATTTCAGATCCGTTTTTGAAATAAATTGACTAACTTTCTGTCTTACGAATTACAATAACAAATAATATATTAAAAACATTTTAAATATTTTTCTTATATATTTTGCAGTTTATTTTTGGCAATATGACTAAGGCTACGACTTAAGCACATTAATTAGTGACTCACTTTTATTTTTTAGCGACTGTCAATAAACCTATTTGACTAAGTCGTCTCGACGCTAAGCTAATCGGTCTGCTCACAAAATAGAACCCACCGCAAAAGCAATTAACTGGCCGAGCTTATGACTAATTTAAATGACAACCCCTATATAAGATATATATGCATATACATATATATATATATAAAGCGCGACTTTTGGAGAACTGTGCGAGACACGTGCGTTTCGGGTGAGGATTACATGAACGCTTATGCTGATGGTGATGCTGCTCGACAAATTTGACGACACAAAGGATTTATTTGTTGATAACAATTGCGGGTGAGAAACAACCTTTGGCGAAAACTTTAAAGTGACGCGCAGAAGCATTTTTTTTGTTTTGGTTTTGTTTGTCGCCATGGGAAAAAGGGACTGACGTGTGCACTAAGCCTTTAGGGCATAACCCACTGGGACAGGCAGGGGTACTGTTATACCCCAGTGGCAGACCTTTGGCGCCATTTTGTTTTCCGGGATTCGACACAACAACAGCAAAAAAAAAAAAAAAAAGAAAAAACCAAAAATCCATGAGCTTTGCGTTTCAATAAAAATGCAAATTGCCGCAAAAGTCGATGGCGGCAGTGGATGGATATTTGCTCGTATCTTGTACCTTCCGGGTTTTTTTTTTACGAGCTTTTAATTTGCATAGACTCGCATGGGGTAAAAGGTTTCTCGATGCGCTTACCTTCACCTGCGACTCGGACATTCCTAAGGCATATGCGAGCTTGGCACGCTCTGGTCCAGCCAGATATTTGGTTTGTTCGAAGGTCTTCTCCAGCGCGAATATCTGCTGACCACTGAATGTTGGGCGGGTGTGTTTCTTTTTGCCATCCTTATCGCTCGATGGATGATGCTGATGGGATTGTGACAAATTGGCAGACACTGTAAGACATCAATGGAATAAACTTTTCGTTAGACTAAAACAAATGAAAAATGGAACATTCATTTTTGTTTAATTAAGCACAAACTTTAAAAGAATAATATTTAATAATGATAAACATTACTAATTTATCAAAGATATCTACTATTAATAAACATATAAAAGTATTCATATATCTAAACCTTTTTTATACGCAAACTTATATAAACCTAAAGTCAGAGAATATGGATACTGAATAATACTGATACAATTCCATAAAATTCTTTACATTGAAAGTAATATGAATATCAATTCATCTATTTTAGTAAAATTCAACAACAATTCGATCAATAATAATACAGTTTCTCCCGTAAAACTTTTCAAATATATAAAATTTACTTTTAAGACTCGTGTTTACAAGCTCCAAAAGTTGTCGCAGTTTTCATGATTTAATTATGAAATAATAAAATTTATCGAGATTATATTGTACTTAGAGGCAAGTCGGAAAGGTAAAAGGGGGTCGAGGGTATGGCTGTTGCTGCTGTTGCGGCAAAGTTTTTTGACATTTATTAATTGTTTATGGGACGCGCTTTTGGCGACAGCTGCGATTTTGAAGAGGTGGCTGAGCTGAGAAAGCATTCGTTGTGGCTGCTGTGGGTTATTGTGGGTTGTTGGGGTTGTTTGTGTGTATTTGGCTAAATAAATGCATGTTTTACTACAGCTATTCAGTTGCGTCTAAAACAACTGCAAATTATTTGTCAAAATTGATTTCCATTATGGGGAAACAGCCAAAATCTAGCGAACAAAATTAATGCAAATTTTGTAATTAATTTGGGCAATTTATTTTGGGCAAACTCTTGTTATATTTTAAGCATAATAATTAGACACTAATTACAGGTTGAGGTAGTCGGGGTAATAAGGACAGAAAGAAAGAAAATGTTGCAGAGCTAAGCACACGTTGCGACAATTAACAAACCCAAATTGACCACACAATTTATGAGGACCACTAAACATTGGGTCCAATGGGGCTCCTCGGGCTTTCATTAAAATCAATTAGCCAAAACGACAACGACAACGACAACGACGATGACGACAAGAGGCCAATAAAAGCAGGGACCACGCCCCCCACTCGAGGGCGCTACGTGCACATACCTCCGCCTCCACCCACAACCGACCCCGGCCCCCTGAAGGCTCGTAAAGGCAGTCAAGTGGACATGGCTTGGGTTGGTGGTGGTCATAAAATTAAACGGTAGCAGTCGACTCTCTCTCTCTTCCTCTCTCTCTCTCTCTATCTATCTTCCTCTCTCTCTCTCTCTCTCTCTCTCTCTCTATGGATGGATGGTCTGAGTTCAGTTGCAGGATGGGTGGCTGCAGGCAGAGCATCCTTATGCCTTGTGTGTATGCTTTCAATTAATGTCACCCCATTATTAAATGATCCCTAATTATGTGAAATGATTTAACTAAATATGCACAGAGCGAGCCGGGCGCTAGTCGAAAAAGGTAATGCCACAATACTGTACACAGTTGCTGTGGGTGGTGCTCGTGGTCGTGGTGGGCTTGAGGGTTGCTCTTCCGGCAGGGTTTGTCATTTTGTATGGACACCAAAATTTATTTCAGCATTTGCCTTTTAAACGGGAGGTTGACTCTTTTATTTTATTTTTTTTGTTCGTGACTGGTTTGCTTTGGAAACTTGGGTCCCTTTATGATACTTTGGTGCAGTTTCTCGGAAATTATTAATTTAAACTGTAGCAGTTAGGACATGGAATGTGTGGGAACAAATAGCAGACACACACACTGAGATCAAGTACATATATGCTGATATAGATATATGCTTAAAATTAATATGAAAAGCCAAAGTTACTAACAATGAATTCTATTTATAGTTGGCTGAAGGAGGAGTGCTACACAGAAAATATGTATTCTATTCCCAAGACTGCTTTTAATTTAAGAACATTTTAAATGCAAGACTTTAATCTTGGTAAACTTTTATTCATAATAGAAAATGAGGCTTAACTTATGAATTATTTCTTAAATTATCACGACAGACGTAATTTCCAAGCGCCATTATTATATTTTCCAGCTGCAGCTGCACAATTCGTTTGCAATAAGTGAATATGTAGAAACATAAAACAAAAAGCTAAATGCAATCGCATCAACATAAATGTGGGCCATTAAATTTATGATTTTTCTTTTCGCAGACAATTCGAAAGCTTAACAAGCCAACAGCAGCAGCAGCTACAACAACAACAACACTTGTCAATATTTCCTGTCAGATTCTGGGGCTGCTGAGGGAGGCGAGGCGGCCTTTGACAACAAGGCCAAGCCTGGACCGTAACAAGCTTAATCCCAAGCAAGAAAAATTGTAGCAGTGATAATTTTTTTTTTTTTTTGTTTTGTTTGTCGCGAGTATATACCCCTCCCCCTCCCCCTTCCCCATCTCTAGATCTATTGGGCCTGCAGCTGCGTCCCAAGGACCCTCATAAATAACCGACAAATATGAAGCGTTTATTTGCTCATGTCACGGCCCTCACGCAGCGTTACAATATGAAATGAATTGGCAATGGAAATGGCAGCAGTCTCACTTTCTGGAGCGACCCTCGCCAGTTCCCGTTGCCCCCTCCCTCCGCCCCACAACAGTTGGTTCTCCCTGCGGCAGTTGTCTATAATCGCATAAGTCACCCTGTTGCCAACGCTGCATTTGCACTTTTCTCCTCGTTTTTTTCTCCTGCTTTTGTTCTCTTTCAAATACACTTTTTTTTCCTGTGCCTGCCACTTTTTTATGGCGTTAATATTTTGGGTATCGGCTTGCCTCTTTTGTTCGGTATTGATATTAATAATGTGTGGCAAGAGGGCGTGTCAGGTGGGCGTGCTGTGTTTTGGCTCAATGCCGCTTTATTGAAAATATTAAAAAGTCATTTATTATGGGATTGTGTCTGCATAGCGAAAAGGTAGCGAGAGCATTCACTGAATCAATCGTCAATAGCAACTGTTGATAGACAGTGAGAAAAATGTGTGCGATAATCAACAGTGGTTAATAAATATCCTGTGATCATTACTATTTATAATTGTCTTGGACATACATATGTACAGAAAAGATTCTTAGTAATACTAAGGCAAATAGTAATTAATAAATAATTTATGTTAAATAAAATGCCATAAAAACTACAAGTGACAAGTTTTCATACTTTTTGTGCATTCGTCATTAAATCCTCCAAATTAATTTACACTTGTTTGCCGCAATTCAAACAAAATACTATTCATTATTCCATAAACTTTTTAAGGGGAGTTTTTGTATATTTATTTTATTATATACTTTAATTTTTAATCATTTTTTATTATGGATATTTTAATTAATTTCTTTTAACTTGAGTCGAATGATTATAAATAAATTATTATGCAACCTATAAAGAAACAAAACTTGTTAACAGGAGTTCCTAAAGATCTTCAAAATATCCTATCACTATAATTTCATTTGATCTTGGGAAATTTACAAGAATGACTTCATCCTTTCATCCGTTTGGTGTCTCATTCATATAACGCATTACAATATTGAAATATCTTTATGCCAATCTCCAAAAACAAATGATAAGCAGCTTGTTTACCCCAATAAACTTAACGATTGCTTGACATAACTTCCTTTCCTGCCCTTCGACTGTTCATCTTGAGCTTTTATAATCCTCACCATAGGTAGCAGGGCTCATTAAGTGTCGCTGTATACTACCCTTTGGGCTCTGACTTTGACTCAGCATCTGGCTTCATTGCATTGTTTTATGGCCTGTTTTATGCCCGATTATATGCTTAAAGCACAAGTTTTGCTGGTTAGCGATGAGGTGGAGGAGGAGCAAAACGACACCGACACCGACACACAAAATGCCACTTGAATTTTAATTAAACGCAACAGCTAGAAGAGCTTCAGTTTATATCCAGCCGTTGTCTCCCTCTCTCTCTCTAAGTTTCCCTATCTTGCTCTCTCTCTCTCTTCTCTCTTGACTGCCTCAATCCTGCAGTCCTGGCAGCTGTGGGGTTTTTGTTTTTCTTATTTTGGGCCTCGTTTGTTGCTGTTGTCTTCATTAAGCTTAATGAATTGTGTCAAATGCAGACTGCGGTTTTGGTTCGTTGCTTAGTTGTTGTTTGCATGATTCGTGCAGCCATTTGGTAATCTGGTTATCTGGGCAGGTCTGACAGCTATATAGCTGACTGTATTTTTAATTGCCTCTTTTTTTAAGCTTGTATTTACTTTTTATATTCAAGTTAATTATTTTACTAACAGTATGTGGCTTTACATGAATGAAAGAGATAGTGTGTGAGAGAGAGAAACAGACAGAGAGAGCGAGAGAGAGAGAGAGAGAGTGAAGCAGCACAAGCCGTGTTACATACACACCAGTCACAATTAGTTTAGTAATCTTTACAGAAATATTTTAAAAATTATTTTATTTTCACATTGGTATTAAAATAATAGTTTTCCTCAAACCAAACTCAATAACCCTTTGAAATAAGCAGAAATAATGCTTTATTTTACAAACCGTTTCCGATTTCTATGTTGCTGATTTAAGCACACTTTTTATGCCATTATGGTTTGAACTCAACAACTTGCTCAGTTGGAAAATCAATAAGAAATTTGAGTTAACTCGTCTGTGTTGCACATGCTATAAATTCCATTTAAAAAAACAAAAGACCAAGTTGAGAAAACACGTTTCACTTGCTTGTCAATGGTTTTTCCTCATCGTTTCCACATCATTTTGCAAGCCAAAACATTGTCATATATTCCCCACATTTACATAAAACACAACACAACACAAATTGATTTGTTTGTGTGAGTGTGTGTGTGTGTGAGAGAGAGAGAGAGAGAGTGTGCGTTTATTATTTACATAAAAATTGTATATTTATTTATTTATTATTTGTATACACGTATTTATGGCTGAAAGATGCCCGCCGACGTCGACGAATATGCGACAGCTGCTCAGCCAGACAAAACCGAAAAGCAACAAAAACAAAAACAAAAAAAAAAAGGAAAAGGAAAAACTTTTACCGGAAAAGCGCCTGTTGTTGTGTGTTGCTCTATATAAATGTTGGCTGTATATATACTAGTATGTTAAGGGGGGGTTGTGTTGTGGGGGGGTGGGGGGAAAGACATAAGATAAAGGCAGACGCAGACGCTGCGAGAATATGTTGCCACATTATTATCTAGACGATGGCAGAGCGAACCAACAAACAACATGATGGGGGTTGACTCATACTCTCTCCCAGCAGGGGATGCCAAAATGGGGCAGCTGTGCGTGAGTGTGTGTTGGTGTGTGTTGGTGTGTGAGTTAGTGGTGTGTGTGTGTTTATATGCTTGTAGGCTGTCATGTTAACAAGGCAGCAAAAGCTTTATGTGTACGTGTGTGTTAAGTGTATGTGTGTGTGTGTATGTGTGTCTGTATTTTGGTATACTGTGTGTTTTATTTGAAAGCTGCGCACAGAGGACATCGCACCAAAAATGGCGGTCGTTCATTTAAATTTTTATCTGCGCACAAAAGTATGCTATATGTGTTTTGGGTGCCACTTTGTTCTGATTTCAGTTATTTTTTTTCATTTTGTTATTTCATTGTTTGTGATTGCGTTCTTTATTTGGTATTAATAATGCCATTGCATTTCATTAGCTAATATTACCTGCAATTTATTGCATTCAATTTATGTGGCATATTAATTAAATGTGAGTGGCATTAGTTCTATTTGCTTTATTACCTGCCACACTTGGTTTATGATGTCTACTTTTGCTTCTATCATTATTTATTTGCTTTTATTATTTGCAATGCAATTCACTAAATCCAATTGCACAACTGACAATTTCAAGCGAGTTCATTACTCTCTCTCTCTGTAGGGGCAATCGTTTGAAGGGCTCAACTTCATATGAATGCATTAATTTGGTCGTTATCGGTTGTACTTATCGCATTGCAAGTCAATTTAGTCAGTTAATTAGATATATATGCATCATTGGATAGGTTAGTTATCAACGCTAATCAAATGTGCAAACACAGCTATCAGCAGCTGCAATATAGCAAAGTCTGCAAATATTATATTATTTTTGTACTAATGGGAATTCAGCGTAAATTCAATTTTCAATTATTAACAATGCTCTTTTTGTTTCTTTTAATGATTCATATTTTTACTTATTCTAAGTGAAAGTTGTTCCCAAAATCTAGAATATTCGAAATTTTCTAATTTAAAGAATGCTTTTCCACAAATAGAGTCAGTTTTTTTTAAGCTATGAACAGGTATAACTATAACCACTTCGCAGCTTACTACACTTAACTCCCACTTGAGACTAGCCCAGCACTGTTTGGCAAATCAATTGAAATAATATTTACTTAATCGAAGCTGGCTACCAAACATTCCACGACACACTTCAGAAATCAAATCGAAAACAAGACACACAACAACAACAAACACGATGCAACATTTCTCTGTTACGATCTGGTGGTGATCTCGTCACTAATTCAATAAGAAAATTATGTTCAATTTCCGACTTTAAGCCCAGTCGCCAAACGTCAAATAGTGCAGAGTCATGGCCGCAATTAAAAGGCAAACAGCAGCTGATGCTTCCACTGAGTACTCCCCAGCTGCTGCCTGCCTGCCAGCTTGCCTGCCTGCCTGGTTGGTTGGTTGGCGGTAGCCACAACACACTAAATCAAATCAAATCAATTGCCAATGCGAACGATCATTAACCATAACTATAGCAGAAAGAGCAACGAGGGCGACGAGCAGCGGGGCGAGGGGCGTTTAAATAAATAAACAATGTGAAAACGAGTTCGAATTTGAGTTGAAGCTGGAGTTGGAGTTGGAGTTGGAGTTGGGCGATTACTTAATGAGCTTAGGTGTGAAGTGAATGTGGGAGAGTGAAGGGGTGGAGCGGAGCGGAGCGGGTATGGCCCAGCTCAGTGCCTTATAAATAGATGTAATAATGAAGTAACCAGAGATTCAGAAGAAGTCGAATGATGCTCGAAAGCGTGCGAGTAAATTAATTTTTCATATGCTTTGCAGTTCGAACATTATCTTTTATGTGTAGTCATTGTCAGCTCTTTACTTGGATCGCCGGATCGTTGGATGCGTCGATTGCCGATCGTTGATCGCTGATCGTGTTAAAGTGATTCTCTTGATTTGTATTTTTCTTCTCTCTTGTTTTTTCTTTTTTTTTTTTTTTTGGTTGTTGGTCTTCTTTTATTTATTTGTTGGCCGCTCGCTTTTAATGAGTCGAACAATGCGCCGTGGGGCCTGCACTAAGCACATTGGACGCGTCATATTGGTAATCACTTGAGTAGCGATCCATGATCATTAGGGGCAGCTGCCTCATTCGCTGCGCTTTGTTAACGGTATCAACAACAGGAAGTCGGCAACCAGATCTGCCAGCTCTGCAACCGATATAAATGGGTATCGAGGTGTGGCTTTCATTGTTGACAAATCATCGGAGGGGCAACAATTGTAACCAAATTACGTGCCACCGTGCCACTGAATGCACTGATTGCTGAGTGCCTCTTATTTGCAAATTAGTGCACATATTCATTTCATCTCATTTCACTTACTTGTATTTGACAATCGCTCACGCCACGCTATCGGATTCGCCACCAATCCCTGCAGTCCCGGCCAGTACAGATGCGTGCGATCCACAATGTGTCCGGCGTGCGTCTTCAGTGGCGCTCCCTGGCTCTGCGATAGGTATTGGGCCATGCCCGCCGCAGCGGCGGCTATCGAGAAGCGTGGTATGCCAGCTGTGGATGGAGTATTGCAACATGTGAAAAGATGTCTCAAGAATTCTTAATGAGTCTTAAACAATTTTTCTTGGATAAATATTCTTAATGATAAGCTCAAATTAAGAACTACAATCTCAATTCAAGAATATATTTTCAATATTGAGAAAGATTATAAACACGAATAAATGTTTATATTCAAGTCTAAAAGGATACTAAAAGATGTCTTAAAAGATACACCAACAAACATTAAATTCTTAAAGATAATTATGTTCTCACTCTTGAATGGAATATATTAATCTTAAACTCTAATTAAGATCTGTAATATCAAATCAAGAACATTTTTAATAAATTCGATGAAAGGTTCTTCATTATAGAATAATTCTATATTTGAGATTTTTTGAGTCTGTTTACTTTAAATATATTTTGTGCTTTAGTCAATAATACATTCCGGATAACTTTGTAAAGATTCACATGAATCTCTTGATCAGCTCAAGTTCATAAAGAAAGATGCTTCATTAATGCTCAAATCTTAAGATCATATTTATTAATAAAGCTAAGCAAATCGGTTACCAAATTCATAACTCAATTAGTTAGTAATGAGTTTGACCGAGTTTGTTTCTGTTGTAATAAAAAATTATTGGCATACAGTTAAGACAGATTTAGTCACTATTTTTAAATATGTCTACCAAAAATCTTGAAGCTTATATAAACTTTATAGCTAACCAAATATTCTTCATATTAGCTTCTGTTGCCAGGTCCAAAAACAACAAAATGCGGAAAAATAAAAGCTTCAAACATCTGTCTACTCATTGTGCCTAGAAGTTGGACCATTAAAGCGATTTGAACGAATTAATTAAAGGCCATTAAATAATTTGTCATAAAAAGAATGAGAAACATTTTATTTTGTTTTTTGTTGTTTCCAACTGAACCAAAAAAAAAAGAAAAAAAGAAATAAAACAAAATCAAATCACATAAACGCCCTCGTTAAAAATAATTAAAAATGTTATGGTAAATTGTCAACGCCCCGTCGCAAAGATCGCTCCACTATGCCCCTCTTTCCCCCCGCCCCCGCCCCTGCCACACTGCCCCTGAGCCTCCTCCTCTTTGCCTACATCACTCTTTTTTTCTCTGTAATTTCAAACAAAATGTTGACCCACTCCTTATTAGGCTTGTCGGCTCTGTCATGGCGCACAATTGGGCTACATTTAACTGTCAAAAATTGAAATCATTTTAGTGAAACGGCAAAGTCATACATATATGTTGTATCTCAACCCTCTCTCCCCCCTCCAATCCTCCTCACCTAACCAGCTCTTTTCGTGTGTCATTTTGATTTAATTACAAACAATTTGACAACTAATTGCTAAACGTTTAAGTATCGCATTACGTTTTGCGTCATTTTGCAATTTTGATATTATATGATTTTGGAAATTGTGCCCAATAAAATGCTCTACTCTCTGTGCTGGGACAGGGGGCGGGGGGCTGAAGAGCCTACATTGTTTGTAGTTGGTGCTGCTGTTGTTATTGTTGCCATTTTATTGTGGAATCATGTCAAACCGGATTCGTGCACAAAAAAACCATTTGTTGTTGGCATTTCTGAACCAACCAGTTCCCAAAGCATTTAAAACAATTTTTGGGGCCATGTCTAATGTCAATTCAATACATTCACATTGCATAATGATGGGCAAAATGGTACTTGTAATGTGGCCCATATCATCCATCTAACTTTACCAGAACTTAATATTGAACAAAAAACAGCCTTGGAAATTTTGTGAACTTCTACTTTGTTGACATATAAAACAATAATTTATCCAAGAAGATCTTATTTATTTTGATTTCAAGTTCTTGTCAATTATTTGTAATGTTATGATAAAGATTAAACTATCTTTGTATATAATATTAAACTAAAATTCATTAAAATGCATAGTTCATCTAAAGAATAAGCCTTGATCAAAGCAGCATTTAAGAATCGGCATATTTTTGATCATTTTTTGGTAGTGGAAAATGTTTACTATATTGTTTGCTTCCTTTTAAAGGAGTAGATATAGAAATATCTCTAATTTATATTTATATGTGAACCTTGTTTATTTGAATATTGATGCCATATAAAAAATCAAAGCAATACACTGCAAATAAAATGCTGAATATTGACAAACATGCCGAGCTCAGGAAACTGAAGAATCTATTTATATATTTTAGGGGAATCTTATGTCAAATAAAATAAGATTTTTCTCCTTAGGACCTTTTGAAATCCACTTTCCGAATTCAGCTGAGTATAATGCCACTTTCTTGAGATTGGTTCAATATCTGATAATATTCTACTCACCTCCCGTTAAAGCACTTAGACCCGCCGATGTTACCGGCGGCGGTTTCGATAGTATCGTATCGATGCCATGCGGATTGGCAGCACCGTGTGTGTTTGTTGTTGTTGTCGAGCTGCTCGAGCTGGAGCCGGAGACACGCTCACTAATCAGATGCGAATTGGGACTGTGGCCATAGACGAGGCCATTGCCGGTGGCACCAACTCCACTGCCTCCGATGCCCTGTGCAGTCTTCATTTCTGTGGTCATTGAATGCAGCGCCGCCAGCGGTGGACCCAAAAAACTCAATGGCAACTTATGCTCCATGTTGTTGTTGTTGTTGTTACTGTTATTGTTGTTGTTGTTGTGATGGTTGCCACTGAGAATGTGATTGTTGTTGATGTTGTTGTTGCTGTTGTGCAGGCTGAGCGGATTGAGGCCGCTGTTCTGATGCTGATACTTGCGACTGGTCAAGTTCTCGGGACTGTAGTCCGATGGCGGCGGACTGGACTCACTGTTCTGGCAATGATCCTCGCCGCCGCTGCTGCGCTGGCTCAATGCAAACGATTTGGCGCTATCCACACCAGGACTGGAGTTGTGCTCGTAGCGCGGCGAGGGCGACGATTCCGAATGGAGGCGTGACGATGCCGGCGGTGGCGTTGTCGATGGTGAATCCTCTGCCGATGATTTCGCCTCCAGCAGACGACCGCCCACAGAGCCAACATGTGCAGCCTTCAACAGCATTAATGGGCTGCTCAAACCATTGCTGTTATTATTGCTGTTGCTGTTGTTGTTGTTGTTGTTGCTGCTATTGTTATTGTTGTTGTTGTGGTTGCTGTTGCTGCTGGCATAGGCTGCTGCTGCGGCAGCCGCACTATGATAGTCGGCCAGCTGTTGCTGATAGTCGGCGGCAGCCATCGCATGCGCATGCACATCAGCGAAACCATTGCTCAAGCCCGCTGCAGCTGCAGCGGCCAAATGGTGACGCTGTGCCGCCGACGGCGGACTGCCCTGGGCGGCGGCAGCGAAACTATGATGCCGCATATAGGGATTGATGAGATCCATCTCCGTGGGATCGTTGCCGGGTGAATGCAAATAGTCGACTGTGGCGCACTCGTGCGCATTAACCGGACTCGGACCGGATGCGATTGCGTTTGCGGGCAGGCGATGATAGAAGCTTGGCGGCAAGGCAAGATTGAAGGCCGAATTGGCCGACAACTGAAATGTGGTCTGGGCTAGATGATGCTGATGTTGTTGCTGCTGGTGCTGGTGCTTGGTGATTGTTGGTGTGGGAGATGGATTATTGCTGCTGTTACAGCTGCCATCCGCGGGCTTAATATTCAGAAATGGACTACCCAGCTTGGAATTGGAATCGTTAGGAACGCGTTGCACTGATCAAAATAAAGTCAAGTCAAGCTGATTACTTGAGTCTTTGGGATTGCACAACTTTATATATATATTTATATCGCAAATAAATATATATATTTATATATATTTATAATTTGAGCACTTCGTATAGATTTTAGAGTTTGAGCTCAGTGTTTCACTTGGTGTATTTTGTGGCACTTCAAGAACTCGAAACTTGTCGTGATTTGGATTTCGATATTTTATGCCGCGCGCGCGTGTCCGCTTGTTTAGGCCTAAGACTAACGAATGATTTCGAAATTGAGTCGGACGACTTCACTTCACCAAACGCCAGAGCAATCTCAGCAAAAGAGCCAAGCAGGCAGCAATCGCAACAGAAGTGGCAGCAGCAGCAGCAGTGGCAGTGGCAACAGCAGCAGTAGAAGCAGCAGCAACAACCCCGTTGGTTGTTGCTCTTTTCCACTCATTGAGCATTCAGGCGCAGCATCCCAAAGCGCAGAAGAGTGAGAGGAGAGACGCAGACGCTGTTTCAGTCGCTCTTTGGTAAATCAGTGTTGTTTGTGTTTGCTTGTGTGCGTTCCACAATCACTGTAAACATGCATTGAAGCCTGGAACGCATTGGCATTGGCACAAAACGAATGGGAATTTTATTATGTACATCATTAAAATCAACTATTTCGGATTGGATTGGAGCTGGAACTGGACTGGTTGTGTTGCGTTGCCTCGCACTGAGAGTGTGCGAGAGAGTCATGTGTGTGTGTATCTGTGTGTGTGTGTCTCTCTGTCTGTATGTGTGTTTGGTTGAGTGCATTTACAGTATTGTTATTGTTGTTTTTGGTGGGTGGCCTCTGTTTGAGGCGCAGCTCGACTGTGAATGCTGTTTATTTGTTTAAAAAGCTATAAATATTAAGTGAAGCTGTAGCTGGCAGGGATTGAATAACAGTATTATTGTTTTTTATTTTATTATTATTTTCTTTTTTTTGTATTCTCTGCACTTGTTCATTTAAATAATTAAATTTTGTAATACGTAATAAATATCCATAGAATGTGGTGAAATATAAAATCATAAAAAAAGAGGAAATGAATGAAATTATTGTCATGAAAAGTTTATTTTAAATACGTGTACAGATATACGGTAAAAATATAAATATTAGCAAACTTTATGAAGTATTTGAAAAATGTATGTAATAAAAGCTTAACGCTACTTAGCTGTAAGCTTTAGAATTTACATAGAATTTAATTATATTTACTATATAAGCAAACTAAACTAAATGAAGCTTTTTAATGCTGCCATCTCAGTAATCTGCGCCCGTTATTTAAAATTGATTGCCAGCACGCCCATTTATCAGCACTCAAATGCAAACAAATGAAATAAAAACTTAATTAATACGCTAATTAACATTTCAATATTATTATGTGACTGTGCCAGCAACGACAACCGATTTACATATTCGCATATGTATGCGAATGTGTATTTGTATGTGTATGTGTATGTGTATATGTATATGTGCATACATACTTATATAGCAATACATATAGCAAATAGCAAAGATACCCACACAAATACAAAAATGCGCTTCATTTAATAATAAACTACACAATTTTAATTTACTCAGACACAAAAGAGCAACAACAACAACAACAACGACGACGACGACGCCGACGATGGAAAGACAAGCAACTGAAACGCATGGGAATTGAAACAGCGCCACTTAGGCCACACCCACCACACTGAACACATGAGCGTATGTGAGTGAGAGAGAGGGAAAGAGAGAGAGAGCGCGCGCAGCAACCGCCATTGTTTGCCTCACTTTTCATGTGTGTGTGAGCAGTGAGAGCAAATTGTTATTTTATGCTCAAGTTTTAACTCAAACTCAACTTGGCAACTTGCACAGATTTTTTCACCATAGCTGTTGCTGTTGAATCCGACACAGTTATTCTCGATTTAATAGACTTTATTATCTATATATATATATTTATATATATGTGAATGTATATTTATATGTCCAAAGCCAGCTCTGCTTTATTTGCTCTTCATCTTTCAGTTCGATAATCTTTTCAATTCAATATTTAAATGTATGGCTACAACAATGTCATAGTTGGATGCTTATCGCACTTAACAGATCTCATAGACAAAAGGAAAAACGAAGGAAACTGGGGAACTTTTTTCGGTTCTATAAAATATGACGTTCCACTCATAAATAGTTAGAACTAACAGCAGGCATACAATAAAAGAATCTAACAAGCTACTAAAAACTTTAAGGAAAAGATAACAAAACACAGCACAAATGACTCGGCCTATGAATAAACTCTAGCAGTGATTGATTTATTGTTTTATTGCGGAAAAAAAAGAAGAAGAAGATATGACAATAGCGATAAGCAGAGAATATGGCTTGGAATATCTTCTTTATGGCAGTGCGGGAGTATTTCAAATCTAAAATGGCCCAAAGTTGATTAAACTCAACTCGGCCCAGACACAAGAAAAGCGGGTAATTAATAAATAATTTGTGAGCCCCATTTTTTCACATGTTGGCACTAAAATCAACCAAGAGCTAAATACCCATGGCTAATGTGAATGGTCAGTCAGACAGTGAATCTGACTTTGGCCACACAGTTCATTAAACTGTAAACTGACAGTGGGCCACAATGCAGTGGAGATCAAGACAAAGTATGTACATGGCTCAGACTGCAGGTATTTATGACTCTTTTCTTGAGGTGGCAATTATAAAGAGTGGAGCCCGAACAATGCACAGAAGTCATTTTTAAAAGGGTCTTATCTGCCATGCTGATAAAAGAAACAAAGGTTGTGTATTTTCAGCATTTACAAGACAATACAGCGTAGGAAAAGAGCTTGGAATCTATATCAAAGTTATGTCAGTAAAATATATAGAAATAAATATTTATAAATATGCTGTGTATGACTACGAGAATATTAAAATCATAATATATATGTATAAGATAAACTAATCAAATAGATAATATAATTGTAAGATCTTGTCATCAATTTTGTGAAAAATGTATTATTTTTTGTATTTATGAAGAATGAATTATCATCTAGAAAAAGAAAGGATTGAGCTGAGGTTTTTACATTTTTAGGCTTAACGATATTATTCCCTTAAAAGTAATATAAAAACATTATTAAATCATTATTTTAAGTATCGAAAGGAAAAAAGAAAAATGTACATTTTCAGAAAATCTAAGAATTGTTATCAAAAGTTGAGAAAACACATTCAATTATTATTTATTATTATTATTCTTATGTTTGCCAATTATAAGCATAATTTTTCAGTTAAAGGTACTCTGAAATACTTTGTGTGCTTATCTTAAATATTTATATAGGTGAAAGTCATTCTCCCTTTTAAATAGTATTTATCAGGTTAAAACTCATCAAAACACCAAACACCTTCGCACACACACACACAGACTTACACATCGACAGACTTTAAGCCAAGTGTAATCAATTCCACCCTTGACCAGTGTTTTGAGTGTAACCAATGCTCAATTTCTCTCAGCCTCAGTAATCCTATTTGAAATTTGAATTTCCTGTTGCTAGTTGAGCAGCAGCTGTGGCCATTGATTGAATCGACCTTTCAAACGCTGACCGCTTGCAAAGCAAATCAGAGACACACAAAGCTTTTCGCACCTACAGCAAATGTGCTGGTTTTTTTCCATTGGTTCTTGGTGTTTTATTATTATTATTATTATTATTATGGTGTATTATTATAATGCGATTTCAAAATGAAATTGGGGCAACCGCAAAGACACCAACGCAAGAACATTGCCAAGATGGGTCACATGTGCACAACATTCTGAGCATATTGACATTCGACATCATCTGAATGGTCAGCACAAAAGTGAAAAGACAAACATAAATGGAAAAGAAAAGAAAAGAAATGAAAATCTCAACATTTGGCATACAATTTGCATTATTTTTATTTTTTGTTTGTTTTGTGTTGAGGATATTACTCAAAGTTAAGTCGGTCGGGGTTACCGGGATTTGATGTATGTCAAAGTTACGTGCGCGTTAAAATCTTGTCTAATTTAATATCTATAAATCCCGGCTATGACAGCGTTTACCCCATTCAGAGCCCGAAAAAAGGGTTGTTCGGGCCTAACCTTATCAACGTGGCAAATTGATTTCGGCTCGTTATGCGGTCATTGGGGTATATCGTGTTGGTTTAGCATGGTCAAAAGAGACCAAATTGTAAAACCGAAATTGGCCAAACGTGCGTTACAAATTAATGTTTGTTCTGGATTTGTTGTTCCCCACTTACTAAAAAATAAATATATATATATATATAAAATTGTTTTTCGTTCCCTTTTTTTTGTGTGTGGTTTTGTTTTTGCAAACAGGTCATAAAACCCTTTTTTACTTCAACACAGAGCCAGCGAGGCTGATGCCGAGTTATGTGGTGTGAATGCTTTGGGGTCGCATTGAAGGTGAAAGGGTTGCCTTATTGATAAGCAATCAATATGGTATTAGTTGGGCTTGTCATTGTCTGATATCAATATGGGTTATTAAAATTGATATGCTTGGCCTTACGAGGGTGTACAATGTATAGTGCAGGAAAGAGAACGGTTAAAAAGATGTAAAAAAAAACACACACAAAAAAACTTTGATGCCGCAAGTAGACAGCTTGTTGAAGATTTAATTGGGTTATTGCTTAAATAGTTAAAAGAAATGTTTATATTTATAGAACAACTATTGGCAGTTAAATATTTAATCAGTTTTCACTGTTAGTCTGGAAATGAATAGTGAATGGATTCATGGATAGACCATCTAACCAAAAAGACTTCTCGATGATCAAATTGTAAATAATAGCATTAGGTAAATGGCACATAAAACACGTCTGATTTTTATTAGACTCACACAATTTGATGCCTTAATAATGTGAACTCAGATAGCACATAACCATATGTGTACATATGTATATGTATATGTATGTATATATGTGCAATCCAAAGACAATCCTCCACGAAACAATTGCGCTTCTC